TTGTAATTCGTTCTTAAGATGTTTATATCAGTTGTTGTTTTGTGGGATTAGCGGTACAGGGGGAAAGATAAGCATTCATTTACTCAGTGGACAGAGGCGGAGTTAATTACCCATGAGCACTTGGTGCAATCCAAGGGATTGAGCGGTTCCCCTTTAAGAATTTATAATGATAAGAGCAAGCAATTTGATAATCAACGTCTTCTGCGCAGTGGCATTGCAGAATGCCATAGGATTTGGAATGTAAGTCATGTATGGCAATATAAGAATGCAAAAAAACACACGCACAAAAGTGTAACTCCTGTAGAAACAACAGCCTTAGATAAACACTAGCCATTTTGATTGGACAATTTTATAACTACCTTTAGTGTTTGTTACATAGTATTATAGCATCAAGGGGCCCCTTCAGCTTAATTACTAGTATCATAACAAGATAGCAATCAAGGTGATTAATATATTCTATTGTTATGCAAATTATGTCATGGTGCTATGCTATATTCCTGTGGAGCACACCAACTAAGAACTTCATTGTAAACCACACCAGCCCCTATCTTTATAAATCCTTGCAAGAAAAGAAAGAAAGATGTCATTATAACCTGTCAGTTCAAACTTATCATCATGTGATACTGTTCTTTGAAAGTCCATTAATCCATCTGAGCTTCTTACATTCAAGTCCATACTTGGTGGGTCTCGGCATTGATGCAATGCTATAGTGAAATACAAATCTGCACCCTAAAAATAAAAAAATAATGAAACTATCTCGCAAATTACTGTAAAATATTTTAGCTAGAATAGACCATTTTTCATGTGCTGTGAGATCCTGCATTATGCATGAAATCAAATGTAATAAGAGGACAAACTAATGGATTCGACAAACACAAAACTATATTTTGCTTAATAATATATATATTTGATGACAGTCAATTTTGATGAAGTATTCAATGCCATATTCTTCTCTAATATGAATTTTGGCACTGAACTACAAAAAAGAAAAATTCAACTTCAAAATCAAGTAATTTGATATAAATTTCAAATGATGGCTAAAAATAACTACATTGTAGATCAATGACATCACATTTAGGAACACAAAGACTCATGGGTAATGGGCATTACCAAATAGATTTGAAGGGAGTGCAAACATCTTCCAGGGTAAATGTTTTATTATTATTTTATAAATTTCCATAAAAGCTGTTTGTGCCTTCATGAAATGTTCAACAGAGTGCTTGTATACATAACTTGTCTACGATAAACTGGTCATCCAAATAGAAACAGAAAAAAATAATACTGTGAATGTAATGTAATTTATGTCAATTTAGTCAACAACACTTACAACAAAGTTTACTGAAAGTATGGACTTGCATGCAGAGGATCTACTTGTACACAGGTAAACAAGTAGATGTCCCCCATGAACAAGATCAATTCCTATGTGTACAAGTAGCTTTTAGCTACAGGAACCAGAAGAGACTAGCTTGTACAAACAGGAACCAGAAGAGACTAGCTTATATCCACAGGAACCAGGGGAAACAAGCTTGTACAAACAGGAACCAGGAGAAACTAGCTTGTACAAACAGGAACCAGAAGAGACTAGCTTGTACAAACAGGAACCAGAAGAGACTAGCTTGTATCCACAGGAACCAGGGGAAACAAGCTTCTACCAACAGGACCAGGGAAAACTAGCTTGTATCCACAGGGACCAGGGGCAACAAGCTTGTACCAACAGGAACCAGGTGAAACTAGCTTGTATCCATAGGAATCAGGAGAAACTAGCTTGTATCCATAGGAACAAGGGGGAAATTATGTTGTATCCATAGGAACTAGAGGAAATTATGTTGTATTCATAGGAACTAGGGGAAATTATGTTGTATCCATAGAAACCAGGGGGAATTATATTGTATCCATAGGAACCAGGGAAAATTAGGTTGTACCCACAGGAACCAGGAGAAACTAGCTTGTACCAACAGGAACCAGGGGAAACTAACTTGTATTCATAGGAACCCAGGCAAATTATGTTGTATCCATAGGAACCAGGGGAAACTAGCTTGTACTAACAGGAACAAGGAGAAACAAGCTTGTATCCACATGAACCAGGAGAAACTAGCTTGTACCAACAGGAATCAGGGGAAACTAGCTTAAATCCACAGGGACCAGGGGTAACTAGCTTGTATCATCAGGGACCAGGGGTAACTAGCTTGTATCATCAGGGACCAGGAGAAACTAGCTTTTGCCCACAGGGACCAGGGGAAACTAGCTTGTAACAACAGGAACCAGGAGAAACTAGCTTGTATCCACATGAACCAGGAGAAACTAGCTTGTACCAACAGGAATCAGGGAAAACTAGCTTAAATCCACAGGGACCAGGGGTAACTAGCTTGTATCATCAGGGACCAGGGGTAACTAGCTTGTATCATCAGGGACCAGAAGAAACTAGCTTTTGCCCACAGGGACCAGGGGAAACTAGCTTGTAACAACAGGAACCAGGAGAAACTAGCTTGTACTAACAGGAACCAGGAGAAACTAGCTTAAATCCACATGGACCAGGGGTAACTAGCTTGCATCATCAAGGAACAGGGGTAACTAGCTTGTATCATCAGGGACCAGGAGAAACTAGCTTTTGCCCACAGGGACCAGGGGAAACTAGCTTGTAAC